ATAGATTTTACATTAACACAAAAATTAGTTTTATTTGTGAAAAACTAGTTTACATAATAATGCAAAATCTAGCATTATGGATTATGTTTCCAACTTTGAGAGACTGTGGAGAAATGAGGGTTTTTTCTTCTTTTTTAAAAATTGTTTGTTTGTTTGTTTTTAATTTCAAGGCATATTAGTTTTTAGCTTTGTATTTGGTTTCTATAAAACTAACCAAATCAGGGTCTTTTAATGTTTATAAACAATTTCTTCAGTCTTTCATAGATTTAATAATTGATGGTAGTATGAAAACGACTTCTTTCATAGACTTTTACACAATCCGTTTATTAAATACACTCTTAAGTATGAAAACATTTGCAAAATCTCGTGGAAGTGTTTTGAAAAAAATGCGGAATACTTAACTGTTAAATATACACTCTAAGAATATACTTGAAGTTTTTGATCCTGCTATTAAAATAGTGCTCCATCGGGTATTTTTTCAAAGCATTAATGAACTGCATTAGCTTATATGTCAGTGTAGGACTATTTTTTTTTCTATATCTAACAACCTGTCTGTTTTAAGGAATTAGGCATTTCTAGCTTGAAGTGACAGTACAATGCCTCTAGTTAAAAACTGGTTTATTCACAATTTGTCATGTCCATAAATAAAATTTACAAATCAATCTGTCTGGAATATCTTTGAAGGAAAATATACTGCCCTAATTTTGAGCCAATTGTAGTTATTTTCAAATGAAACAAATTGGATGTTTTCTCATATAATAAACCTGGTGTCTTGTCTAAAGGCAACTGCTAATTGTACATCAGCCCGTTCTCCATGCTAAAAAAATACAGATTCATTTACTTGCTGTTATTTCATGCTATATAACAAAAAGAAAATACTGCTCCTTATGAAGCATGCTATACTTAATGGCAACTTAAGGTAATAGAGTGCCTTTGCCACTTCTTGAATCTGGGACACCCTAGGTGCCAGCTGTCACTGCTCAGCTAATGATGACAAATGCCCCTCTCTATGCAGATTGCAGAGCTTGCAGGCTGCTATGAAAGGCAGCCAGATTACCTTTCTTCAGATAGTAACTTAACCTTTTAAACTCAAGTGTCAGAATGAAATTATTAGCTGGGATACTTTCAATATCTGTTTCTTTAAAAAAGAAAAAAAAAAAAAAAAAAAAAAACCTATTCACAAATTGTTCATGCTTCTCTGATGTTTTAAAAATGGGAAATTGCTGCCACTGTGCCTGTGAGCACTGTATGGATTTGCTGGCATTGAATGCATGAATACTGAAGCTGACCCCTCAGTTGCACTACATGGAAATGGGGCCAAGCAGGTGAAATTCTGTCCTTGCTTACATCTACACAGTGTTACTGATGCACAGACCTGAGAGATCACAGGTTAACTGATGGTATTTTATAATAGACCTTAACTGATCTTACACATTGTGGATATACTCAACTCTCTCCATGACAGTTCATGTTACCACTCTAAGCCTGTGAACCTCAGTTAGAGTCCAATGTATCAAAATAACCGGGTATTTGTTTTGTGGGTATGAGCAGTTTCACAGAACTCAGTGTCACGTGATTAATGTTGTTACTAATCTGAACATATTCTTCAGTCAGAGTTTTGGAGTTACTTTCTGGGTTTTCTTGGAAGTAGCTGACAGATGTGAGGATATTACATAGTTCCTTAATAGCACATCAGAAATGTATGCAGTATAGGCACTGCATATGCCACCTAAAGGTGTAGGGTGCTTTTTGAGTGTGTACACATATGTGTGTCTGTATTTTTATATGGGTCTATTTGTTTGTGTTTGTACACTTAAATATAGAAGTAAACAGACATATAGGCATTCATATCAATATGTGTACACATGCAGTAGCCTACACATGTAACATCCAAACAATATATATTTCTGTGTTTGTTTTAAAATGCTGACATATATGAGCAAGTTTAACTTGCATTAAATCAGTCTGTACAGTGAACTGTATATGAATATCAGTTTCCCTCTGAGTAAAGCATAGTTTTATTACAGTAAATAAGTACTCACCTCCAAGATTTTCACATTATCAAATCTCCATAGCAGTACTCTTTTGGTTAATATGATGTATGAAAGGGAGATGCTGGTTAATATTATGTTTTCTTTTAAAGTTTGGGGAAGAGTATTTGGTTTTGCCTGTGCATAACTATGTTAAATTTAACATCCTGTTTTGTTTTGTTTCACTCTTTTTTTTCTTTAAGTCATTATGTTCAAAGTATTTAAAACTATACATGTTTCATTATTTTGAGCAAGTGTAGCACAATCTGGGAAATAAAAAAGACACACAAAGATCTAGTGTTTCATACTCAGCTTTCTCAGCTTGTTGGTTGAATAGGCATCAAATGAAGTCCAATGCCTATACAAAAGAAATGTTCCTTGTTTGTATTTGCCCCATCTGTGTCATCTGGTGGCTTATGCAATAGGAGGTGTTATCACATGAATCCAAATGCACAAGCCAGTTGTTTTATGGACTCTTTCTGTGCTTGGAGGAGTTTATAAGTTGCCCACTCTATTGTGTGTCACTCCCAGATGACACGTGCACATTCTGCTGAGCATATTTTGGGGGTAATTATAACTAATGAAGCCTGGTACACAGCTTGTTCGCAGAGTGATTTATTCTGCTCCTGTCTGATTCCTGAGAGTTCTGTAAAATGGTTATATTGTGCCTTCCACTTTGGACATGTATGGGAGCATGTGGTATTGAGTCCATCTGAGAAAATTTGCTATTCAGTGTACCACAGACTAATTACAAAGATATTGGCTGGGTACATCTGTTTAAAAATATAAGGATGAACTGAAAATTATAAATGGGTTCAGTAACTTTAGGGATATTGACTTCAGTATGGCTCTTGTTTAGTTGTTTACTCTTCCCAGACTTGCAGTAACTCACTTGAATGTACTTGTGTTAAATGCCTCAGAGTTTCTCTGAACCCTGTTCAGAGAAGGTTAGGTTCCCCTTATAGCTTTTAGCAAAGCAGATTTTATTATTTGAATTCTGATAATTGATATTTTGTGGAAAGATGGATTTAAATGTTGGGAAGGAAATAGCAACAACAACAACAACAACAAAAAATCATTTCTGAAGCCTGGTTGTCAACCTTTATTTCACCTTAGATATACCATTCTCACTCTAATTTGTCTTGACTTACCAGTCTCTCAGGCAAGTAAATCCACTTACATTAGTGGGCCTCATCCTCTATAAAAGTACTCATACATTTGTTTGCCAGGATGGTTTTAAAAATCTTTTTTCCAAGATGCTAACATACCTCTGAAGTCATGAAGTCATGGGGTACATAGAAACTGCAGGGTTTATCACTTCATCTACCAGCTTCACAGATATCCAAGCAGGCTGGATGTATCTCAAGTAACAAGTATCTCAGCATCAGTGTTCAGCAGTAATAGTCTTCAATTATGTCTGTCTTCAGTTTTATCAGCTTTTCCCATCTTCACCCCCTAGCTCAATATCCAGATTTGAAAGACTTTTGCATTTTCTTTTCAGTGCTTAAACAAAATTTTCCTTCCCAGAAAAAAAGATTAAAGGTTATAGTACTGCTTGTAGGAATGGGAGAAGACAACCTTATTGTTGTGTACATTTTATAAAAAGCATTTTGTAAGGTTAGAAAACAACTGCTTAGAAAGTACAGTTCATATCCTTCCTACTAGCTGCATGACTAGAAAAATAGTTTTACTGAGAATGAATTACTGAAAACAACCTGGGATGTGCTCACAACAACATTAGCAGCATGATGGGTGAGAAGATATTACTAGGTCTCAGAAGTGACTCATATAAAATTACATTCCTCAGCTAGTATGTTAAGCAAGAGGATGTGGTCACCAGCAGAACTGAAGTCTGTCTGTGCCCTAACCTGTCCCAGTAGTGAAGTTTATAGTAATAGCATTTTTTTTGAAATCAGTACTTTCACTGGGAAAGAAAAGGAAAAAAACCAAAATTTCAAGTTAATCTTTATCTTCATAACCATGAAGATAAAAGTGGACAGGTTTGCCAGTGACTTCATTGTTGCTCCTGAATTTGTGTGGAGCATGTTCTCCTAGGAAGAGTTTGCAGTGTTACATACCCAAGATGATAACCATCAGAAGGTAAGAGTGTTGGAGTGTTTTGATATAACGGGTATGAATATACCTGTATATAATGTACATGAAGAAACATACAATTTGAAAACTAACTGGTTTGCTGAGAACAATTGTTTCATAATGTAGCAGTTAGGCTTGAGTTGTTTGAAATAAACAGAATTTGCTTTTGGATGTGGCAGTAAGGATGTTTAGCTTTATGCTTGTTCTGTATTTCCTCCATATATAAGAGCATGTTCTGAGGACAATTTTTACATGATGATTTATGGTAATATGAAATCTGACCTGGTTTTGGGTTCGCTGATGATACAATTATGATACGGTTTGACTTTTGGGATAACACACATATTACCTGCTTACTGGCTTACTATGCCAGATATTGCAAGAGGTTTGCTAAATTGTCAACATGTACTTATCATTGAAATCCTTAGATAGGTTAGACATTACAGATGAAAATCAGAATTTTCCATGTTCTGTAAGGTTTTCTGGGTTTTTCTTTGTTCTGTGTTAAAGGACTGTGACAAACTACAGTGACTGGTATATTAGAAAATGCCTAAAAATGAGCAGTGGATTTAATTGGAGAAAGATTGTCTCACATTGAAAGAATAGTTAGCTTGAATTATGGTTTTGTGCTTATTAAAATATTGCGTTTGTTAGGTGTAGTTTTGTTTTCTGAGTAATCTACTCATGTTTAGTTAGAGTACACCTGTTCTATATAATTTTAAACATTTCATAAAATATTTAAGATTAATGGTCCAAATCAAGCACTAACTAAAACGATACTAATTACATCAGATGTAGTTGGGTCAGGGAAGCTTACATGTCATTCTTTTGCACTGACCAAACTTTTCATTTGCATGAACTCATGTCTCATGTTAGTCGGCCTCTGCAAGAGTTTGCATCAGACCAGAGCATGGCCTTCTGAGAGCTGTAATTTCACCCTCTGTTCTACTTTCCTTTCTTCGGTAAGATGCATTCATTTTATTAATTTCCATTCCTTTGCTACTTTACATGACTTTTGTGACAGGAATTACTATTTAGGTCACCTTGAACCTAGAAACTTATTTATACTGTGCCACACTAGTGCTAGTGTGTATGATTTGCTTATCAGTTATGGATAGGGAAAAATAATTTTTCTTATTAGTATCTAGAAAAATCGTCGTAAAATAAAACTCATAACTTGCAGTAATAACCATTTAGCAGAAATTAGAACCAAGAATCTGAGTTGATTTTTGGGTGCTAAATTCTTATTTGATAAGCTCACCATAAGCCAATGATAAGCCATACCCTTCCATTTTCCCTGGTAGTCTCCCAGATTTATGGGACCAGGGTGCCCAGTTGGACCATCTGCTTTCTAGAAATTCTGAAAAAATGTTGATGGAAAAGTGTTTGCCACATTCCATATGTGACATCAGTCACAGAGCGGACACATTGGACTGCTTGTAAAGCAAATGTTTAGTGAATACTTAAGGAACTTGAACTCCAACCCCACACTGACCCTGTGGTACTGTATGTGATGATCAGTTGTCCAGGCAAAATAATAGTGATTCAGTTAAACCCCCAATTTTTATATCAATTTAGTTACGTTTATATAGCTTTGTGGAATAGCAGAAATAAATCACGAACAAGAAGACAACCAAAAAATATGCTGTGCTTGGGTTAGAAAAAAAGTGATTGGACAGACTGAAGATCAGGGCAAAAAGATCAAAGAGAATTAATTTGAAATAGAAGATATTAAAACTTTTCAGGAAAAATTAATTTGAAAACTTATAGTAAAATTTGTTTAGTTGAAGGGAGTGGACTAAAAAAGCAATATAAAGAACCAAATGGGAAAATCAGAGGAGAAACTATGAAGGAAGAAGTTCGCTTAAAAGAGTTTGAATTAAAGTCGAAATATGTAGGGTTTTCTTTATATAAAGTACCACACTAAGGAGAAATCCCAGCTTTAAGGAATCTCTGCCAGCGCGCCTAAACACCTAAACCCGCAGAGTGACTCTGATGTTGTGAATCATGCTGGAAAGTGTCAACATTTCCCAGGCTTACCCTGGGCTGTGCTTTAACTGAGTCAGCCTCAATGTACTTGCTGCTTTTGTGGACAGAAGTCATTGCTTTGTGAAAGCAAATAAGACAGTTCTCCAAGAGCTGCTCTCCAGAGCCCCAGACAGTGAAAACAGCAGCCTTTTCAGCATCCTTCACTGACCTAGAGGTTAACCTGTCTGGAGGCTTATGCAATCTATACAGTAAAGGAGAGCTTTATTAGGATGGGAAACGGTATGTTTGAGAAGGAGACAACAGAGGGATTCCAGAATTTGAGAGGGAACATGTATAATGAAGTTCCTGGCACATCTTTAAACTGTAGATAGTTATATTAACACCTTGGCTGGTATTTCATTACCTTCTAAATTAAGTCCTGATGAGTAGGACTGAACGAGACCTTTTTGGATGCACAAACTGCTGAACTTGCTTGTATTGTGTGGTACTATATGTTCTTAAATTAATGTTACTAAACATGGGACTTATAAGACCATTCACGAGCCTACATTATTTGTTATTGGTCTCATTTAATATTTATAGAGTGGCACACATTTCCATGTTGCCTTAGAGAAATAAAAATTATGATTCTGCCCTCATTTTACAGTCTAATTTTAGCAAATGGAAGAAATAGTGGAAAAAAAATAGAAGAGGAAGTGGAAAAGGTAAAAAGGTTGTAATAAATAATTCTTGCTACTATATTATGTAGGAAGCTTGTATATCTGTTTTTTTTTTTAAGCCAGTATAAAATGGAATTTCTAAAAGGACAGTGATGTAGTGTACTTCTGTCTAAGGGTCAGGAGTGGGAGAAGCAACAGTTGAAAGATGAAAGTAGAAGGTGTGAAAATTAGGTTTTCATTTGATGTGAGTGTGTTCAGGTTGGCTGAGGTTGCTGAGAATTCAATAAGAGATGTTTGAATGAGGTGCAGTGGCTAGTATAGGTAGGAATATTTCACTATCCTTGCTCCCATGTGGATGAGTTATAGACCAAATGGTAGGCAAGCTGCCTATTTTTGCCTGCTAAGTAAGCTAACTGAGCCAAACACTAGTGTTGTCAAGGTTTCCCAGAAATGCACAGTTCAGTGCATGAACACAAAACATTCAGCTGGAAAATTTATGTGTGGATAGGAATGTAGGCTCGATTTCCTGCCCAATAAAACCCAACAAAAAAGACCTGGCAATCCCTGGCTGGAGGATGATGACATTAGTGTAATATGATAATATGTTATTTATTTAGATGGGGCTGCAGTAATGCATCACCTCACCTTGTTGCAATATCGGGCCTGTAATGTTGCTTTCTTGCTCCTTCTGATGCACCCAGTGCTAACATGGCTCTTCAGCTTTGAGAGGTGGGGTGCTACGTGTCTGAGTCTTCTTTTTGTGTATCTTTGTGGACTCATTTGTAAAAATTATCATTTTAACCAAATACTACTAGTGTTGTGTTTCATTGACATACAGTGATACATCCCAAAGTTCACTCCTATTTGATCGAGTGTTGAATGAAAGAATGATTCATCTTTTTAGTCATATAGTCTGCAAATGTACAGAGCACTTCATAAATGTGAGGGTGGTATCCTATCTAGAATACCTCTGTTAATGCAGAAGCACAGAATCTATTATTTATACTTATGGACTGGGTAAAAAAAAAAAAAAAAAAAAAAAAAAAAAA